TGAGAATCAGGTATGGGGAGAACAAGGGTGGGAATTGAGAGGGTTGGGAGAAAGAAAGGAAATTAGTGGGGAGGCCTCTCTGAAAACTGGAGTCCTGGGATGGGACAGGCTCCTGGGAGGATTTGGAGAGGTGACTCTCACTAAGAGTGCTAGCAGTGAACGTTATGGAGCCTTAGGTGGCCACCTCCTGTAGCCAGGAAGGACTTCCAGTGGAGGCAGGGAACACCAATCCACACACAAAACCTTTGACCCAAAATTGGCCCTGTCTGCAAGATGTGCAGGGATAAGTATGGAACAGAGATTGGGGGAATGTTCAACCAATGACTGGCCCAACTTGAGACCCATCCCACTGGAGAGCCCCAGTCCATGACACTATTAATAATACTCTGCTAGACAGAAGTCTAGAATAAGTGCCTCCTGAGAGGCTTCATCCAGCAGCAGATGGAAACGGATGCAAAGACCCACATCCAAACTTTAGGTAGAGCTCAGGGAGGGTTGTGAAAGAGTCTAGAGGGGTCAAGGACCCCACAAGTAGACCCACAAAGCCAACTAACATGAGCCCATGGGGGCTCACAGAGATTGAATCACCAAAGAGCATGCATGGACTGGACCTTGGCCCTCTACACATATTTAGTAAATGTGCAGTTTGATGTTCATGTAGGTTCCCCAACAATTGGAGTGGAGGCTGTATCTAACTCAGACTCTGTTGCCTGTATTTGGATCCCTTTCCCCTTTGGATCCCTTTGCACCCAATAGAGTGTAACCCTTCTCTGAAAAGGAGGTGGGGAGGAATGAGAGAAGGGAGTGGGTGGGAGGGTGGGACAGCGAGGACAGTAGGGAGAGAGCTCTGATAGGAGTGTAAAGTAAATAAATAAATAGATAGATAAATAAATAAATAAATAAATGGAAAAATTGTGTTCCTCCAAAGTAATCATTAAAATAATGAGAGGCATGAGAAACCATTGAACAAAAGGAAACACTTAGAAATTAAAGTTTACCGAGAGCTTATTTATGAGATATCTGTATTTGTGTGTCTCTAACTATCTGTATCTCCATCTATATAATTCAAATCCTACCAAAAGATAAGAAACATCTCAATCCCAATATACATGACAAGTCCATCCTAAAAGCATGTGCACCACTCTTACTCATGAAGGAAACGCTAATTAAACTCTACCACAATGATAAGGGAAAAATTAAAATGAAAAGTCAAAGAAAAAGAAAATCAAAAGCATAATAATGGATGGTGTAGGAAGGGGAAGGAAAGGAGAGGTCAGAAGAATGGAAAAACTTTAAGAGGTGAGTGGGACAACAGAAGCAAGAGAAAGGGATCTGGATTAGTTTGTGTCTGTCTGCTTCTACCAGCTCCTTAGTCTCCTGCTCTCTTTGCTGGGATTCCAAAACAAGACAAGAAGTCAAAATCTTTGCTCACATTTTCAGCACCTGGGTACTCAAGAACTAGCAGCCTCAAATGGGAGGGGAAGTTCCTGTTTATTAATCTCAGCACGTAGGGGCCTGGGGCAGAAAGACAGGCATGAGCTGGAGGCCACTGTGGGCCAAGAGTTAGTTCCAGGCTACTTTGATCTGTACTGGGAGAGCCTGACTCAAAGCAAAAAAAACCTAAAATCCTCTAGGGAATGATATCAGTGAATGCTCCTTAAGTGGTCATTTGTGCGTGTTCATAAAAGGAAATAGTTTTGAATAGACAAAGTATCAAATGCCTTTATTTGATTAGACAAATGGACAGCTAAGCCCCCTGCTTGAATTAACAATAGAGAATGACTTCTTAGTTCATAGATGTGTGTAACTCTTGCTTATTTTTTCCTTTTTTATTGAATATTTTCATTATTTACATTTCAAATGGTATCCCCTTTCCTGTCTCCCACCCCTGAAACCCTCTATCCCATCCCCCCTGCTTCCATGAGGGTGTTCCCTGATCCACTCACCCACCAACTCCCTTCTCCCCCACCCTTGAATTCCCCTACACTGGGGCATTGAGCCTTCACAGGACCAAGGGCCTCCTCTCCCATAGATGCTAGACTAGGCTACATATGAGGCTGGAGCCATGGATCCCTCCATGTGTACTCTTTGGTTGGTGGTTTAGTCCCTGGGAGCTCTGGGGGGGGGTCTGGTTGGTTGATATTGTTGTTGTTCTTATGGGGTTGAAAACCCCTTCAGTTCCTTCAGCCCTTTCTCCAACTCCTCCATTGGGAAGGAGGCTCTGAGCATCCACCTCTGTATTTGTCAGGCTCTGGTAGAGCCTCTCAGGAGACAGCTATATCAGGCTCCTGTCAGCAAGCACTTCTTGGCATCTGAAACAGTGTCTGGGTTTGGTGGCTGTATATGTGATGGATCCCCAGGTGGGGCAGTCTCTGGATGGCATTTCCTTCAGTCTCTGCTCCACACTTGGTATTTGCTCCCTTGAGTATTTTGTTACTCCTTCTAAGAAGGAGCACAACACCCACACTTTGGTCTTCCTTCTTCTTGACCTTCATGTGGTCTGTGAATTGTATCTTGGGTATTCTGAGCTTTTGGGCTAATATCCACTTATCAGTGAGTGCATACCATGTGTGTCCTTTTATGATTGGGTCACCTCACTCAGGATGATATTTTCTAGTTCCATCCATTTGCCTAAGAATTTCATGAATTCATGAATTGTTTTTAATAGCTGAGTAATACTCCATTGTGTAAATGTACCACATTTTCTTCATCCATTCCTCTGTTGAAGGACATCTGGGTTCTTTCCAGCTTCTGGTTGTTTACCAAAAGTTTCCTGCCTATTTCTTAAAGGTATAGGATAGCATATTCTCTAATAAAAGATCTTTTTTTCTTTTCTTTTCCTCTAAGATTTTTTCAAGACTGGGTTTCTGTTTGTAGCCCTAATTATCCTAGAACTCATTCTGTAGACTGGGTTGGCCTTAGATGAACTCACAAAGATCCACCTGCCTTTGACTCCTGGGTGCTGGGATCAAAGGTGTGCACCACCATAGCCTAGCAGAGAGATATTTCTTTCTTTTGAACCTTTAATTGATTCTTTGTGAGTTTCATATCATACACCTCAGTCCTGCTTGTCACTCCTTTACCTCATATCTGCCTCTCACCCTTGCAACCCACCCCCCCCCCCGCAGGAAAAAAAAAACAAGAAAACCCATGCAAACAAATAATCAACAACAAAGCATTAAAAAAATCTCATTGTGGAAGCTGTACAATGTCACACTGTGTCCTGAAGTTTATCCCTCTGTCCACATGTCTTCACTTGCAAATGTTTACTGCAATGAGTCATTGGCCTGCTTCGAGATCTCTGGCTTCTGTGACACCATCAATACTGAATCCTCACTGGGACTCCTCCTGGTTATCCTGTTGTTGCTCTGTGTCATGGACATCCTGCAAGTTTCAAACAGGAAGACTAGCTCCCTTCACGGCACCATTCATAGATCAAATAGATTTAGGGGTAGGCCATTTCAGAGCCCTGGATCTGGGCTTGGATGACAGCTGAGCTGGTCATCCTGCAGGCTCTCCCTTATCTGCACCACCAGGGTGAGCTCTCCAGCACTGCTCTAGCTAGGCCACCCAATGCTGTCATCATCAGGAGGCGGGTCAGCTTGGGGGGGGGTCGGCTCCCCCCCCCCCCCCCCCCCCTCTCAACGCTCTCAAGCCCTCCGGGCTGGCTCACCCACGCCTTCACCAGGAGGGCCAGCTTTATTGTGTTGGCCAGGTGAGATGCGGGTCCAGTTCTCCAGATTGCGACAGCCAGTAATGTGGTAGGGCTAGCTCTCCAGCTCTTATGCCCTCAGGGGCAAGCTCTCCCAATTACAACAGGTGGTGAGGGAGAAGGGGGAGAGGGCACAACCCCCATACCCACATCACCTTAAGGCAGACAAGTGGTGGAGCCTGTTTTCTCTAGCTCTCATCCTCGGGGCTGGCTCACCTGCATTCTCTCACCAGGGGGATCACTACTGTGCTACCCTGGAGAGGTGCAGGGCCGGCTTTCTAGAGTGTTGCAACGGACAAGGGGCAAGACAGGCTCTCCTGACTTCATGACCCCAAGACCAGCTCTCCTGACTCAAATGTGGCAAGAGGCAAGGAAGAGGGGGAAGGCATCACCCCAGCACCCATGCCACCCCAGGGCGCATGAGTGGTAGGGCCAGATGTCCTGTGCTCTTGCCCTCTGGCTGGCTCACCTCTTCCCCCACCCCCCCACCACCACAGTCACGTCTGCTGTGCTGTCCAGGAGAAGCTTAGGGCCAGGTCTCTTGAGTGCTGCAGCTGGTGAGAGTCAGAGCTAGCTTTCCCGAGCTTCTGGCCCTGTAGGCATCTTTCCCAACTGCTAAGTGGAGGGGAGGAGTTTCACCTCAGCAGATGCATGCCCGAGGGGCCAGCTCCACTCTTCTGCCTGGGTGAGGCACAGGGTCCACTCTCCAGAGTTCTCCCAGGTGATAGATGGGGCCAGCTCCCCAGAGCCTCACATCCAGTATAGGCCGGGGCCAGTTCACCATAGCTCCTGAATATCCGAAACATAGTTGGAGTGGTCCGAAGCAGCTACCCCAACTAGGGACATCCCCATCTTCTCTAGCAGTAATACGAGCCAGGGACATCAACATCAACCCCTGGCACTGCATAGTCATGGACTCAGACATAGCCCCCATCAGGAGCTCAGGCTGGGACCTCACCATAGGCCCAGGTAGCAGGACTGGACATACATAACAATAGGCTACTCCTCTCCATCTTCAAGTCTCCAGTTCCTTTTGTCTCAAGCTGCTCCACTGTTTTCTCTCCCATCTGAGCACCACACACTCTAGTGTTACCTCCAGTTTCAGGCTGGTCATGGAGCTGGCAGGCCCCTCGTGACATCTTCCATCCACATGTGTGGCAGGTAGGGAAGCAAATGTCTATGACATGCCTGTGCCATGCACTGGAGGGCAGGTCTGTGGGTGGCATTGCAGTCCACAGCTCTTTGTCTTCCTTCTTCTATGCTTGTGCTGCCTGAATTTGATTTGATTTGATGAGTCCTAGGCATAAGACAGCTTTGGCCACCAAACCAGGATCAAGCTAGGATGAACAGAGGATTGCTATCGGTTCTGTCCCTGACTGATGTAAGAACTCTACCACCAACATGGTGTCTCTTTGTTCATTGCCAGGGAGTGGCAAGCTATTTCTTAAGGGGAATCAAAAGGAATGAAGATCTCCAACGGGGTGTGTGCTGACTAGTTTATGTCTACTAGCCACAAGTTCTAGTCATAGGAGAGGCCCTCATATTTAAATTTAAAAATTTTTAACTTAAAAAAAATTGCCAGCAGTTCCTCAGAAAATTGAACATAGTATTACTTGAGCACCCAGCTATACCACTCCCGGGCCTATACCCAGAAGATGCTCCAACTTATAACAAGGACACATGCTCCACTATGTTCATAGCAGCCTTATTTATAATAGCCAGAAGCTGGAAAGAACCCAGATGTTCTTCAACAGAGGAATGGATACAGAAAATGTGGTACATTTACACAATGGAATACTACTCAGCTATTAAAAACAATGACTTCATGAATTTCTTAGACAAATGAATGGAACTAGAAAATATCATCCTGAGTGAGGTGACCCAATCACAAAAGAACACACATGGTATGCACTCAATGATATTAGCCCAAAAGCTCAGAATACCCAAGATTCAACTCACAGACCACATGAAGCTTAAGAAGAAGGAAGACAAAGTATGAGTCCTTCTTAGAATACTCATGGGAGCAAAGACAAAGAGTGGAGCAGAGACTGAAGGAAATGCCATCCAGAGACTGCCCCACCTGCGGATCCATCCCATATAGTCACCAAACCCAGACACTGTTACAGATGCCAAGAAGTGCTTGCTGACAGGAGCCTGATATGGCTGTCTCCTGAGAGGCTCTGCCAGAGTCTGACAAATACAAAGGCGGATGCTCATAACCCACCATTGGACTGAGCACAGGGATCCCCAGTGGAGGATTTAGAGAAAGGACTGAAGGAGCTGAAGGAATTTGCAACCCCATAAGAAGAACAACAATATCAACCAACCATACCCCCAGAGCTCCAACCAAGGAGTACACATGGAGGGACCCATGGCTCTAGCCTCATATGTAGCAGAGGATAGCCTAGTCAGGCATCTATGGGAGAGGAGGCCTTTGGTCCTGTGAAGGCTCGATGCCCCAGTGTAGGAGAATGTGAGGGTGGGGAGTTGAGAGTGGGTGGGTGGGGGAACACCCTCATAGAAGCAGGGGGAGGGGCATGGGATAGGGGGCTTCAGGGGGAGGGAAACTGAGAAAGGGGATAATATTTGAAATGTAAATAAAGAAAATATCCAATAAAAATTATACTGTTAAAAAGATGCCTCCATAAGATCTGGCTATAAGGGAGCTTATAAAGGCATTTTTAAAATTAGTGCTTGATGTGGGAATTTCCAGCACATTGTGGAAGGTGCCATCCCTGGATTGATGGCCCTGGGTTCTATAAGAAAGGAAGCTGAATTAACCATGGGGAGCAAGTCAATAAGTCTCACCTCCCACAGTTCCTTATCCCAATCCTCCTCCCCTTGCCTCTGAGAAGGAACATGCTCCTCCTTCCCTCCACCAGGCACTCCCCTTCCCTGGACCCTCAAGTCTCTGGAACATTATGAGCATTATGAGTATCTTTTCCCACTAAGGCCAGACCAGGCAATCCTCTGCTATAAATGTGCTGGGGGTGGGAGGTGGGCCCAGAGCAGCCCATGTATGCTCCCTGGTTGGTGGATTGGTCTGGGAACTCCCAGGGTCTGGGTTAATTGAGACTGCTTGTCTTCCTATGAAGTCACCATCCCCTTCAACTTCTTCAATCCTTCTCCTAATTTAACCATAGGGGTTCGCGACTTCAGCCAATGATTGGGTGTATCTGCTTCTGTCAGCTGCTTGTTGGGCCTCTCAGATGACAGCCATGCTAGGCTCCTGTCAGTAAGCGCATCATAGCATCAGCAATAGCGTCGGACCTTGGTGCACCCCCCCATGAGATGGATCCCAAGTTGGGCAGGTCACTGGACCAACTTTCTTTCAGTCTCTTCTCCATTTTTGTCCTTGCAGTTCATTTAGACAGAAACAGTTCTGAGTTAGAAATGTTGACTGTGGGTTAGTAACCCTCTTCCGTCACTTGAGGCCCTGTCTATTTACTGGAGGTGGACTCTTAGAGTTGTCTCCCCACACTGTTTAGCATTTTGGCTAAGGTTACCCCCACATTGAGTCCAGAGAGTCTCTCACCTCCCAGATCTCTGGTACATTCTAGAAAGTCCCCCCACCTCCCATGCCCAGAAGCTGCATATTTCCATTCATTCTCCTGGCCCTCTGGGCTTCCGTTTTCCTTTTTCAGCCTTCCTACAATAAGAGAAATGTCAGCAAGCATCCTTCATTGTTGGTCAGCAAACTAACAGGATGTACTTGAGCTGAAGCTGAGGTTTTTTGCTGAAGATATTTTAGCTAGTCTCTCTAGAAGCCACATCACATCAAACAATTTTTTTGTGTGTGCTGAGTATTTGACCCAGGGCTTCATGCATGCTAAGCAAGTGCTATACCAAAGAATGAAATCCAAGTAAGCCATTGGCAGTATGACTCAGAATCTGACCCAAACAGAATGTATCCAGTGCTTACAGAATCACTTAAAAAGACAAACAGAACCCAATTGGCTAGCAGTCCTATTTCTTATGTTTGAGGACAAAGACTGACCCTGGCCTTAGGGAATCCTGGGGCTTGATCCCTGGTGACATTTTTTCTGAAAATTCTTTCTTACAAATGTAACTCCAAAGTTGCTCTTGGAGACTTCTAAAGCCAACAGCCTGTATATTGCCCTTCAGGTAAGAAATCAATGCAGAAGCTCCCTGGACTCTGTGAGTCAAGCAGTATGTGTGGCAACAATTTGGCCAACAGCCTCAATCCTGCTTTCAGGGGCTGATGCCATGAAACTCTGGAGTCAGACATGTGTTCTAGTGGCCGAAGAGTGGCCCTCTGTCAGGATGAACAGAGGTAACTCCATTGAGTCACACTGCTGCTGACAATGGTGCAGTGTCAGAACAGCAGCAAGCACTGCTTTTTCCATAGGAGGAAGGCTTTGTTCAAGCTTCTAGGGTAAAGACTAGTGAAATAGCATTTGCGCATCATATGCAAACAGCAGAGTTTGAGTTCTTTTGAGACCCTCCGACCAAAGACTTGAAGAAAACAACAAACAAAAAAACAAACAAACCAAAACACCGTAAGTGAGGAAAGGTTAATTTTGACTCATGGTTTCAGAGACAGAGAGTTCAGTTTATCCCAGTGGTCCGGTCATGATGGTAGAAATGTCTCTATCCCTGGTGGCAAGAGCATGTATTCACACTGTGGTCATAGGCCAAGAAACAGTGACAATGGCTAGAATAAGGAGCAGGTATCACCCTAAAAGTTCTTCCCAAGGGACCCACTTTTGCTCCACTTAGAAGTTCAATGGACTTTCAAAACCTAAGAACAAAATATGAGACTGTAGGTGATACTACTAATTCCAACCATAACACACAACACAGTAACTGACAGTGTCTTCTTTTGTGGGCCAATTATTTGACCATTGGCAAGCTATTTAACTTTTCTGTGCCTCAGTATTCCCAATGATCTTAGATGTCTTGTGGGTGTTGTTATGATCATCAAATAAAGTAACACATAAAGCACTTAGAATAGATCCCCGCATAAGTGCAATTCCTTATTAAAGTACTCTTTGGTGACTTGTTACCATTTCTCCACGAACATTCAAGATCAGCTTTGGTATCCTCCTTCCTGAACACACACACACACACACGCACACACACACTTCTCTTCGAGCAGACTCAATGTTTGTATCAGTTTCGTGAATATACTCTGAGGGTGAAAAATGACGTGTCAGCTTATAACTACACAGCTACTCTATGGATCTCTCATACACACAGAGCAGCTCACCTTGGTTGCAACACAAAGTTCTCTGTTTCTCTTTTAATGGAAGGAGGGTAATCTATCCCAATCATAACACACTTAGATTGGACAGATTTACAGGACTGCTTACGTTGGGGAGGATATGAATCTTTTAAAACAGTTACATAAAACAATTGCCCTCTGAACTTCAGGGTACTAATTTAGTAAATTACTTCACTATTTCTAGATGCCCAGATAACAAAGGTTAATGGGACAGATACATAAACAGGCAAGAAGTGATAAAATTAGGAACCCCAAATTCACAAACCACACCAAAATGGCCAAATATCTGGACTCTATCAGTCTCCAAAGAAGTTCAGCTCCTGCATTATTATGTAAAGCACAAAATTTAATATTAGTTGAAGCACAATATTATGTAAATCATTAGGGATGTGCGTCAGTTGTACAACATAAGATCTAAGAGATATCATCAGGGAACAAGAAACTAAGCAACGGTCTGCAGAGGGAAGCAATGAGTAGCCAGCCTTCTCTTTAACAACAGGATTCCGAGATGGAAAGAAGTAACTGCAAAGCAATCTTCATTCTGGGCCACTTTCTATTTACACCTAGAGACACTTCCCTCACAATAGTCTACATTTTGTTATTCCTATTTTGCAGATTCAAACCCTGAGGTTCAAAATGATTATTGTAAGTGTCCAAAGCCATGATTTTAAATAGGGTTTGATATAGACTGTGTATCAGCTCCTTAGTTAACAAAATTTATATGCAAATACTCACTAGAAAAACTTAATATGCCCTCTTAGAAGAATAATTGTCCTGGAATTTTTACCTCTGCCCAAGGTGTATGGAGGGGAGGCTGAGTGAAGCACAGAAGAAAAGGAGTCGAGGGCACAGCAAGGTTAGTTGGCAGCACTGCTTTAGTAAGCTTGGGTTAGTAGCATTTTTCATATCTTAACCATTTGTCTGCATCACATCTACTCAGTTATTATATAAAAAAGAAATATAAGCTACTCACTATTTTACCATAAGTACTTAAAATAATGGAGGAGTGGGGAAACCTACGGGTTTCAGTTCCAGTCCCAGACCAGCTCTAGGCAATTCCGAATTTGCCCGGATTTCACTTTTTCTGTTTTTAAAAAAATGAGTAGAGACCAGACTTCTGAAATGGAAGACTGAGGAGCTAGCAGATCCTCTCTCCATCAAAACAATAACTGGACCACTGAAAATT